TGTCAAGGGAGAAAGGATTACCCTGCCTCTCTTGGGAAGACTCGTGCCCATGTTGTGTGAACAACTCTGCACGAGCACCTAAGGAGGCTTACCTCCTTACCAGCCCGTGGTGGCGCGTACGTATCTCTACTGAGATGTACGAAGGGATTGACAACCTGAAATCCCTTTACGACCGTGCCGGGAAGACTTTCTCCGGCGGTCCTTCTGCGGCACAGGATGTGCCGCGTCGTACTGCTCAACCAGACCCAGTACGTCGATCATCAGTTGGGAGCGGGGCTCCCAAGAATCCCAGGACGGGGGATAGCCGCGCCACCGGACGAGATAACTCATCCGACGTCCGTTCACGTCGCGGTGGTTCAACAGCTGCTCAACTAGATAGCGCTGGCCACCGCGAGAGTCCTCTAATGGAGGTGGAGGAGGAGGAAAGACGCTCTCCACACGATCATGGGGATCCGTGTGTTCCCGAGAGCTTCTTTGATCGCGTAACGCAAGGGTTACGCGACGATCTCGAACATGAGCGGAATAGGCGTCTCCAAATGGCGGACACTGCCTCGAAGCATCGAGCTGAGTTTGCCTTTGCTCAGCTTGAGAACGAGAGATCTCTGACATCTCTTCGTGACGAGCTAAGGGTAGCTCGTGGGATTGCTGATCGGTCTCGGGATGAGATAGCTGCTCTTCAGACCCTTGTTGATGCCCACCATCGGGAGCACAAGGCTCTCTGCGAGATGCTTGAGCGCAAGGGCGTTCTTCATCGGAAGAAGCAGCGTACTGATGGTACGGCTTAAGCCGACCAACGTAAAACGTGGGATGCGTTCGCATCTTACGTGGTAACTCGATCGTGTATGCATTGTCTAGGCGGTGCAATACACGAAATGGGCCGATGTACTTGGGGAGTGTTTTACTGCTACCCAAGTTAGTCACTACATGCTTTGGTAGATTAACCGTAGACAGTAGGACTAAGTCACCTTTATTAAATAAAAGAGTGTTTTCCCTTCCATTCTTGTCAGCGTTTTTCTTTTGCTTATCCACCGCTTCGGCGATGGAGTCTTGCACAAGACGGACTACCGTTTCACGAGCCAGTATGAACTCATCTGATGACTTGTTAGCTTCAGTGCGCTGTGAGCGTACTGCAGCAAAATCAACCTTTTTTTCAGTGAGGGCTTCCGCACTCTCCCTGGGATCATCTTCTTCAGTGAGGGCTTCCGCACTCTCAATGGCATCATCTTCTTCGATATCGATGTTATCGATATCGGCATCAAACGCAACGACCTCTTCGTCAGAGCGTGATGAGCATGAACCAAATCGGTTTTAGCTAGCGCGAGTCCCTCCCCCCCTTAAACCAGAGTTACACTCGAGTAAGGTGGGTACACGCGGATGGCGCAAGCCATTCACGTAAAACGGTGTATGTGTCGTGGACGCATGCACCGAGTTGTTAATGGCAAACTCTACCATTGGCAAAACCTCACTCCAACTCTTAAAGGAGTGTACGTATCCTCGAAGTATCTCTTCAAGGACACGGTTGGCACGTTCCGTCTGACCATCTGACTCTGGATGATCAGATGTAGACATCTTCAAGCGCGTTCCGAGTGATTTGAACACGGAACGCCAGAAATCAGCAGTGAATCGTGGATCTCTGTCTGATACGAGTTCACGTGGCAACCCATGAAGTCGGAAGATGGTGTCAATAAAGACACAAGCACAGTCACTTGCCGTGATTGTCTCTGGTACAGCCACAAGGTGTACCATTTTGCTGAATCTGTCAACAAATACGAGAATACCCGTATTCCCGCGTGCGTCTTTGGGTAACCCGAAGACGAAATCCATTGAGATGGATTCCCAGCACTCAGCCGGAACCGGTAGAGGCTGTAAAGGTGCACGCAGTGAAGGGCTTGACTTCACTCGTTGGCAGACTTCGCATGCGCGAACATACTTTCGCACAAACTGATACTGACGGGGCCAGTAAAAGTCTCGACTCACCGTGAGATATGTTTTCTCTCGGCCACGATGTCCTCCTATAGGAGCATCGTGATACTCGAACATGATCCGCAAACGCAGATCAGTATCATCTGGAATGACAACACGTGGTGTGTCACCAGAAACGGCTGTATATTACAGTAAGCCGTTACGAGTAGTGTATCGATCTGATGCAGATCGATACGCAGACGACAATCGTTTCAACGATTCTCGGGATGGTTGGGAGAGATGTGTCAACAACTTCACAATCTCACCATCTTGGGCGTATGCCCGCCTCACATCATCATACAACGTTGTAGATGGGACTGAGGACGTCATAACCGCAACAGTGACTGTCTCACTGTTGGGTTTCGCGACTGTTTCAAAGTCGGGACGACGTGAGAGTGCATCAGCGACGACATTAAGTCGTCCTGGTTTGTACTCGACCGTAAAGTTGTACTTCGCAAAGAATGACAACCACCGCGCCATTCGTTGTGAAAGGTGCGGGCTGTTCACTGCCGTGCGTAATGACGCATGGTCAGTGTAAACAATGAAGGGTCTATCTCCTAATAGATAGACTCTGAACTTCGCGAGTGCATACTTCATAGCAAGGAGTTCCTTGTCATGCACTGGATAGTTCCGCTCAGCTGGTTGCAGCTGACGCGACTGATAGCAGACGACGCGTTCAACGCCTTCAAGATCGTACTGCATTAATGCACAGCCGATTGCGAAATCGCTGGCATCACAGACCACATGAAATGGCCTGTCCTGATCGGCTATTGCTAGGACTGGGGATTGTATCAAGCTCTGCTTGATACCATCAAAGGAGCGCTGACATTCAGCGTTCCATAACCACCTCTCGTTCTTTTTCAACAAACGAGGGAGGTGCACAGTCATTTCGGCGTAATAGCGTGAATACTCGTGCAAATACGCCGCTAGCCCAAGGAATTTTCGAAGACCTTTGACATCAACCGGCACAGGCCAGTCGGTGATCGCCTTGATCTTTTCGGGATCAGGACGTACACCGTTCTTACCAACGATGCACCCAAGAAGTGGTATTTCGCTTGCTGCAAATATACACTTCTTATGGTTTGCATACAATTGATGCTTTCGCATGATTTGTAAGAGCCTGTCGGACGTGGTCCCTGTGAACCTCAACGTCCGACTTTCCATCCATAGCTCGACTATGGATGAATACGTCATCGAAATAACTCGGCGTGAATTCTCGTACTGGTCTCAACAGATGTGATACACATCTGTTGAACGTGGCAGGGGCATTACTAAGCCCTTGTGGCATTACTAGCCATTCCCAGAGCATGCCGCTAGGCGTGCTAACTGCGGTAAAGGGTATATCCCGTTCCCGCATAAGGATTTGATAGAAGCCATCCATCAAATCCATGGACGAAAAGATGGTACTCTTTGACATACCATCAATGATTACGTCCTTCCTCGGTATCGGCGTCTGAGCCGGTACCGTTGCAGCGTTCAATTCGTTGAACGCGTGCACTATCCGCCACCCTCCTGTTGCTTTTCGCACACAGAAGGTCGGAGAGCTATGTGGGGAAGTTGATTCCCTCACATGGCCCGCAGCTAAACGATCGGCAAAGAACTTGTCGATCGCAAGTACTTGTTCACGAGGCAGTGGCCACTGCTTCATGACACAGTACTTCGAGCCTGGTTTAAGCTCGACCTCGTGTCGAATACCTTTATCCTTCGGTAATTCGCACGGAACAGTTTCAGGGAATACATCCTTGAATTCAACCAAATCTTCATAGGGAGGATTTGTCTTGAGCGATTCCCACGATTGGGAGTCATATCGCTCAATTCGTGTCTTTTCATCTAGGACACTCTCGTCCATAGATGAACTACTGAGAACTCTCTCGTTCTCAGTAAACACTGTTGCTGACCTTATGTCGGTTACACACTCGTCGTCAGCGACGAGTATGCAGATCTGCTTGACTTTGCCACTACGCAGATCACGCAAGAACCTTTTATGTTCGAGCGTTGGCAACTGAGTGATCTCCGAAGTTAACTTCGGAGGCGCAATCAGATCAAGTGTATAAGCGCCTACACTTGATCCGTTATTGACTATGACATTCAATGTCTCTGTCATTTCCTGGGGACTTATTCCCTCAGGCTTCGAAGGATTTATTCCTTCGGCTTCCCGGGGACTTATTCCCGCGGGTTCCGGGGAACTTATTTCCGCCGTATTTGTAATCTTGGGACTTATTCCCTTTACTTCCTCTAGCTGGGGTTGCGCAACCACAGCGAGATCCTCTACGAAAGACTCTCCAGTCGATCTAGGATTATCGTTTCGCTTAACCTGAGCGATCGATCTTTTCTCTTCTAGATGTTCCCCGCTAGGGATACATCTTTGTCCCAGTCCACCCGACTCATTCGAGTGGTGGACCTTCGACGCAGCCTGTATTTCCTCACAGCCGCCGGAACTTTGCTCCGAAGTGTAACCGTTTGGTACACTAAGGTTTTGTGCAGTCGTACTGACGACCGTACCACAAGTGAGGCCATCGCACTCACTCGTAGTACATCCACACGCTTGTGGACGCTCCAAAACGTTCATCAGATGACCATCTGATGAACAAGCGGCAGGCATCGTTACTGTTCAATGTTGCCAGTTTACCCGTGGTTCGTATCTTCTGAGCCACGTTATTCCAAGGATGACATCAAATTTGTCATCCAAATCCAATACGATAAAGTCATCGTCATATTGGGTATCTTCTAGCGTATAGTGGATCTTCACTATACGCTTCATGACGGTTACGGATGCGCCTGTCGCAAGACGTACCGTCATCCTCGTAGGAGGTGTGTCACATTCACTGAATTTAAAGTGACCATCTTCTAGCGATTGGCGTCGCACAAAATTGTTGGACGCCCCACAATCGACTAGAGCTCGAAGGGACAACTTATTCGTCACTTCAAGTTTCAAGGTAATGAGTGAGACCTCATTACCTAGAGCATCAACGCACAACGTTTGTGTGTTGGGAGCAACCTTCATCAAGAGGCCTACAAATTCTCTTGACGTTGCTGGATCAGTAGGGTGCTCCGCACCTACTGATCCTGTCCGTTTTTGACGGCCCATCCCGTTGTTGCGTCTTTGCACCAACTGCGGACCCTCGTCCCTGCCCCTTTCTCATTGGTGGACGGTCACTACGCCCAGTGTCGCGAGACGCTGGACGAGGGGCACTACACTCGTAAGCGTAGTGTCCTGTCTTTTGACATCTGTTGCATCTCTGCAACTTCTTGTAGTCTGTAGAGCGAGCCTTCTCGCTCTCTACATAACAGAGTTCCATCTGCTCTAGACCTCCGTTGTCATATCGTCTCGGTTGACGATGTGATGTCGAGCTGGCGCGAGCCTGTCTCAGACTGAAGTCTTCCTGCTCCGCAATGGAAATGGCTTGTTCTAGTGAATCTAGTTCAAGCCGGAACAGGTGAGTCTTGACGGGACCATCCGCAAGACCCTGCATGAACACCGAAACCAACGTGTGTTCATCCACCGGATTGGAACTTATACAGCTCGTGAGATGTCGTATATGTTGAGAGTAAGCGTGCACATCACGCTTACCCTGTTTGAGCTTCAAGAGTTCGGTTCGAGCTATGAACTCAGCTCCAGGCGGTTCAAACGTTTGTCTGAGCCGCGACTTGATGACTTCCAACGACCCAAACGCAAATGGGTCGTGCAACTTGAGCCCCAGTACCCAAGTCTTGGCACGTCCTGCCAGATTTGACTGGGCAAATGCAACTTGCATATCCCCGTCGTCGATGCGGCGCGTCCTTAAGGCGTCATCCAATTCGACGAACCATCTCAAGAGGGAGTCCTCTTCGACCCCCCTATAATTGGAGATGTCAATCTTCAGGATTTCGGGTCGACGCGAGTGCATCGACCCGCCAACAGCAGCCTGCTGCTGTCTCGACAGTTCAAACTGTTGAGCACCCTGTTCTCTCAACAACTCTGCTTGTTGAGAACCTTGTTGGTGAAGCAAGGCTACTTTCTCGCGTTCAGCGTCAAGTTCATTTTGAATGAACTTGGCGATAGTAGCATGTTGGGCATCTCTATTGAGAGCCTCTAGCATGACGCTAACAGCATGGATGCCCATGGTCGAACCCATTCGTTCAACCGCATCCCATTCGACATCGCTCAAATGGGAGTAGCCGTCACGCGTAGCGTGAAAGCTTTGGTCATCTTCATCATCCAACATATTCATGTTGGATGTGAACGTGGTCCTTGGACGGACTACGAAGTGCTACCAGGTGTAACGGGGCACCCTGAAGCTTGTACTGGTGACAGTACACGCTACTTATTCTGATGACAGAATAAGGCGGTGCCTCGTAACTTCACGTACACTCGTACGTGCAGAGGAAGACGGTAAGAAGAAGCGAGTACTTGGTTAAAGTAAAAAGTAGAACTGTATTTATAATAGTTAATGTCTGCGATAAATCACTATTTATCTTCATCTAACTATGTCTAAATACAGATGTGTAAATCAACTATCTGCTCACCACTCATTGCGTGCGTCTGTCGTGGCGCGTCTTCGTTGGTTGATGTAATGGCCTACATCAACCAATTAGGAACTACTCGTAAGTGCTACAGAATACTTGTCCTTATGACAGTATTCTGAGGATATAACTCTTATAGTTATATTCTATTAACAATTTCTGATAAATTGTTATGTAACGATTCACCCCGTTACACTTTAAACAAACTTTATCGCTAGTGACAGTAAAACCAAAAATGACTTCACATCACATGAATTAATCTTTACGATTCTTGTCTACGTTATTATAGATATTTTCGAACTCGCTATGTTTCATCAGCGAATAAAGCATCTAAAATTTTAAAATCTACATAATTTAGCCGATCGATCGACAGATCTCATCATTACTATTACGCTGCTCATCACTTTTCAGCTGATCATCCACATTTTAAACAATAGTGTGAGTAGGATCGTTCTTGCGCATCTTTAGGTGCCACGCCCTTAAGTTACCTCCTTCAAAGGCAATATTGTCGTCAGATTAATTGAGTCTCTTTTGTGTTATCCACAGATCCATAGTGGGACCACAGTTTCTAGAAACCGATATCACTAGCACTTACAGTTTTTAACAATGTAACTAGTACAAATTGTTTTAGGACAGTTTTGATTGTTCAAGGCTTTGCACGATATCCTGATCTCTGATTCACTTTCCAGTATTTGGTCGAATGGATTGCGCAAATTTTTAAGAGAGAAGTGGCTCATGCTATGCACGAATGTTTACTATTAACGCTCGTCGAAAACTGGTATACCTTCTTGTCGACTGTTGGACTGGTCATAACTAAAATAATGCCTAGTCGAAAATTTTTATGCCCGCTCGTTATAGAGACATCCCAAATAGAACCTTGTCCATCTAAATTTGTAAAGATTGAAGTACTTAATTTTTAAGTTAAGGGGCCTGGAATTGTTGTGCAGCCCTGCATTAGGTCCGATGACAAGGCAATTTGTCCACGGCTACCAAAATCAATCGTTAATCGCGACTATGAGATGAAAGGTCCTTGCGGTCGACTATGGTATGTAAGTCAATGTGGATGTAGATCCATTGAATCAATGTAAACTACCTTTGTCGCGTTAGACGATCCACCTGCAAAAATATTAACTTAAATTGAAGAAAACGAGTCAATTGTTTAGATCCATGGACGAAAGATCGTGACACATGGAAGCGATCAAACAGCACTAGTATTTGTTCTTAACCACAGCAATATCAGATTCGCTTTCTCCGCGATTTTCGATCATCTGCGCGTGATTTATCAAACGATGACGTGTGCAGATTCCTCGCGAAAAATTGTATTGCCTGAACCAAACATGAATCATTGTAGTCGTGATGACAACTTACTAGCGTGCGCATGGATCCCCAGGGTGGGGATGTTAGAAATTTTCGTTTAAAAATTACGCTGAAGCACTATAGTCACACGGTAAACGAAGTGAAGAAAGCTATAACTTACTATCAATACAAGGTGCGCGTACCAATTTAACTTAAAACAAGATTACACTGATGCCTACTGATGAAAACACTATGGAGTAAAAAAAAAATTTCACACGACAAGAATGAAGCCGTTGTCCAGTAAAAAGCCTGTCCTGTTGCTCAAGGGTAATCACTAACCTAGTGGGCTGGCAACAACATTCACATATTCCCCAGTCATAAATAATAAATATACATGAGTTTTCTGCTCACTTGCCGACGAGCTAGACTACGAAATGAAGAAATATCTCTTTTTTACGGTGAAGTTGTGGAGCTAGTATAGTGGCGACTTGAAAGATACCAATGTATATGGAAAACGAATGTAGTATTCCAGCTTCATACAGCACTCTGCGGTCAAAAACAATGAAAGGCTGATGTGGCAAAACAAAATTTGAAGGCTTAACGGAGCGATGTTTTTCGCTTATTAACATCGAATGGTGCTATCTAGAGCTTCCCATTATTTCCCGGTGTGTAATCTTCTGATAATTTATTGCTGACGATGAATCGATCGAGAAGCTATTCCAAAATTAATTCAATTTCTGAGGGGGAGTTTTACAAAGGACTAAGTGCTGCACGAATGGTAATGGTATTGAAGGTTTTCTTGATCGCTTACGTAACGTTATAAACTCTAAAACAACTTTGTCGGACAAACAAGTATCCACTAATACGCTAAGCAGGTCGGCTTCAGTTAGCGCTGCAAACATGTAAAATGCAAAATCATGGCGTTATCTCGAAGTTTACAAATGATTCGTTTTTCTGTGGTAATATCTATGTTTCATCGGTCAGTTGGTTTCTGATGTGCCTAGTCACATCTTCGCCTATCGGTGAACAGGACAGAAATCCACGCCTTAACGACGAAGGATGGATAGGCGAAAGGTGAATAAATTAATTTCAATGGTGTGGATAATGGTCATGCCCGTTGGCATGAAGGGACGCGGTTAAAGATTGCAAGTGTCGCGCAAGAGGGTGTAATTTCTGTACGTTGTCAAAGGCAAATGGATTCTGGCATTCATAGTACAGCTCTCCGCGCTCGCTATCTGTCAGTTTCTCTCACCCGCTATCTCCTCACTGCCACTCATGCAGCCTTATCACTGCGCTCGCACCATACGATCCTACAGGCACGCGATCCTTCCACTCGTCGCGACTGCTCACAACGTCGCCCACGCCATCGTGACTATTCACTGCGCCGCATCATGCCGTTGCAACTGCTGCCGTACGTCGTCTGCCTTTCATTTCTTGATGCATACTGGAGCTCATTGTACCCGATATTGACCTTTCGCATCTTTAATGCGACTCTTGCGATCATGAATTCACACAGAGAGACTTGATCTAGTAGTTTCGTTTCATACTCGTAAGAAAAGTAACACAGACGCGAGTCCAACAGTCTGCCATGTGGTTTCTGCATGGCTAGATGTAGCATGAAAAAATTGAGCTAATACTTAGCGAATACATGTAGGAATGTCAAGTTTGTATATTCCTCCACCTCCATGGTCGACTAGCTGGAAGTGGAATCTGTTAAAAATATGTACACTGGCGCACTACATCAAAGGCCCTAACATGTTAAGGATGCACCAGTACTTGAGGTTTACTCGTGAGGCTGTATTGAAAGATCTCGTCGACTGGAGAGTAAATTAAGTAAATAGATTCTTTTAATTCAGTAGAGAATATTAACTTAGAAATAGCATTGACGTGTGAAATAAAGACTTCTTAATCAATTGCTTTATCACGTGAAATCTCAAAGCAACTAGTCGTCTTAATTCTTTATCAGGCTATGAGCCCAAAGACTACTGGCGACATGTGCATCTCAGCGAAAAAGATAATCGACAAATTTTACAGCGATAGCTATACTTCAAGGGCATGCTGTATGCGCGGTGTGCTCCTGAGGAGACGCCATCACAAAAAGTTGTGAATCGCAAATCGACGCCAACTTTTAATGATGCCCGGGCCCAGTATGAGCATGTGCGAACGAACAACATCGCTTTCGACCTACCAATGTTGAACATCGACGCTGAATATTATCACCTAATCGACGACTACAAATATGCGTGGGATGCATGGTCACGCCTCAAGAATCTGAATGAGGAATCGCAGAAGGCCGGTTACAGTTACGTGAAGTGTCAGTAGTTTAACGTGGATATAAAGGGAGTTACACCCTCTTTTGCTAATGCAACAATTTCCTTAGCGTTCGCGCCAAGCTTGTCGGTAGTGGCGTAAAGATGGAGGATGGCGTTGTGTCGATTTGTCTACTGCGCAGTTACCGAAAAGCTATAAGGACAACGTTATGTTCATCGAAACGAGCGACGCAGACTTTCAAAACCAAAACGTACTCAAGGAACTCAACAATGAGTACATTAAGCGCGTAGGCGAAAAGATTAATGTAAATACAGATAGCACAGTGAAGGCAGTTGACTCCGATACAAAACTCGGGTCTGTTCATTTTTTGGCAAGCGTGGTCACGTAAAGGATCGTCGTTGGTATAAGAGCAAGCAATAGAAACGAAAGCAAAGTCTAATGATGGGTGGTAAGTGAGCGAAACTTGTTTAGCACGATTACCACCAAGACGAAAATGATGACAGTATCTCAGTTGCGTTTACGGTGTCAGTAGAATGTGGAGTATGACCCACAAAGAAGAATAGAAAGACGTGTTGTCGTTCGATAGTGGTGCTACACACCACGTTTGCAACGGTTAGTCTAAGTTTGCTGAGTTAGGAATGGAGACCGTTAGGATTAAGTCGTCCCAAATGTCAACAAGAACATGATTCGTGGCTTTGGTACAACGAACGAAAGTACTGTTCTTTTAAACGGCCACGTACGCAACATTGGAGGAGCCAATGTAATCTACGCACCGAATGTGACGAAACACTTGTTGTCGTTCTGTTGATAAATAAATAGAACAAGCTTCATGTTGTGATTGATAGACAAAACCTGACTGTGATTGACAAAGCTCACACTTTGTGGTTGCACCCGCTAAATTATATGCTGAACTGTGCTGGATGCGCAGCCTTTAAGTGCGAATAGCATGTCCTCAATAACTGCTAGTCGGTCGAATATTTATATATTTCTGCAGGAGCGAATGAGCCACGTACCGTTTCTCGTTCTTCTTCATCTTGTCGAAATAGTTTTGTAAAAGATATTGACTTCTCAACTACCTTGAGGACATGACCGCTTGTCACGGGGACCAAATAGGAAAATGATTTATAAATATTCGTGATGA